AATTTTTTGTAAAAAAAATGTTTAGTCGTAGCATTAAACACATACTCCTCCTCCCCCTGTCCCAAAAAAAAATTGGCATAATTTGGTGCAAAACATGCTCCCATAGCCGTACCTTTACACAATGATTGCAATGTCCACTCTTAAACATGCCTCGTATTCCTCTGTCCAACCATGTTGTCTGTTTCATAGAAGGCAAGTGACTTCTCACAACTCTGTCTTTAATTGTAGGAGCCTTTCTGTAGCTCACAATTGGAGGCTCCTGAAAAATCTCGCGTAGACTTGGATCACTTTGAATAATCCCCCAGTTCCTATTTATTATACGCATGATGTCATGTGAGACAGTACTGAATTCCATAACAAAATACGGTCGTGTGGAGCTGTTCTTCTTGCTTTTCTTGTTGAGTAGGTCATCCTGTTGTAGTGGTGACACTTTATTCAAAGCCTGATCGACCACTCTTTTCTGATAGCCTCTCTGTTTAAAACGATATTTCATATCCATAGCCAGACGATTAAAATCAGAGTCTTGATCACATATCCGTCTTAATCTTTGGAATTGACCCAGTGGAATGCTTTCTGTCAGATGTTTTGGATGAAAGCTCTTTGCGTGCAAAATGGTGTTACGGTCTGTATTCTTTCTGAAAAGTGAAGTATGTAGACATCCATCTTGATCTTTATAAATAGAAATGTCTAAAAAATTTATTTTATCCTGACTGTATTCAAGGCTCAACTTAATGCATGTATTTATGGAATTCAAAAATGCATGAAAATTTTGTAATTCGGTTTCATCTCCTTCAAAAATCATGCAGATGTCATCAATATATCTGGTCCACCATTTTATTTTCGTAAAAAAAGGATTAGTGGTAGCATTAAACACATACTCCTCCTCCCACTGTCCCAAAAAAAGATTGGCATAATTTGGTGCAAAACATGCGCCCATAGCCGTACCTTTAACCTGTTGGAAAAAGTTATCTTCAAACACAAACACGTTATGTTTCAAAGTCCATTCCGTTAGTGTCAGGATAAATTCTGCTGGAGGACTCTCATCCATCAATCCAGATGTTAAGTAATATCTTAAGGCTCGAAGGCCCTCATCATGGTTGATGTTAGTATATAAAGCCTCCACATCCATAAATACCAACAAAGAGGCAGGATCAACAGAACCTATATCCTTGATTTTTTTTTATTGCATCTGTTGTGTCCTGAATAAAGGCTGGAAGGGTGGGTACCAAAGGCTTAATAAAATAATCAATGTATTGTGAACATGGTTCCAAGAGACTCCCATTATTCGAAATGATAGGACGTCCAGGAGGTTTGTTCAAATTTTTGTGAATTTTTGGCAACATATAAAAACATGCAATGCGTGGATTTTTAACATAGAGAAATTTAAATTTATTGTCCGTAATCCAGCTCTTTTCTCTTGCATCAGTTAATAAAGATAGCAATTCTTTTTTCATAATTTCTGTTGGATCATTCCGTAGATGTTGATAAAAGTCCTCATTCTTAAGTTGTCGATAGGCCTCTTCTATATACAAGTCTCTACTCCATATTACTACAGCTCCACCTTTATCCACTGGCTTAATGACCAAATCTTTATTTGTTAATAAGGAGATCAATGCATCTTGCTCTTTTTTTTTGTTAGATTCTTTTTCGATGGTTTAATATCCTTCTTAAAAAGTAATTCTACATCATAATTGACCTTTTTGACAAAGGTATTAATGGTTGCATTCTGGATTGGAGGCAGAAAGTAAGATTTTGGTTTAAACTTAGAGGGATTTCTTGAAGATTCTTGGTTCTCTCCTGACATGTTAGTCGGTATTTGAGTTGTTCGTCCATACCATGCTCTCAACTGCAAATTGCGATGGAAACGAAATAAGTCAATTTTGGTTTTAAATTCTGTTGTTTGATGCGTCTGAGCAAATGAGAGGCCTTTTGATAAAACTTGTACAGCATCATCTGTTAATGGAAAACTTGACAAATTCACTACAGTGTCCTTTTGGTAAAACTGCGTGTACTCGGACGCCGTTGATTGTTTAACGGTCTTCTTTCTCCCTCTCCTTGTCTTTCTCTTGCTCTTGAATGGTTCATTATTGGTTTGGGCTGTGACTGTAAAAAACTGCTGGAATCAGCTCTACTATCAGAAAAGTAATCATCATCACTACTGGTCAAGTTAAAGGAGACGAAATGTTCGGTGCGCTGTGTTCTCTTTTCGGACAATCCTCTCTGCTTATTACATGTTGGTCTTTTCCAGGTGTAAACCCTTCCATCCTTATAATCCTTTTAATCTCTCTTAAATTTGTCCACCTTCTGTTTCTTTACATTTTCAGTAAATTTAAGCAGTTCATCCTGTAATTGGACTTCCAAATTGTATTTTTCTTCAGTCACTGCATTATTTTCAAGTTGGTTTCTAATTTTATTTATCTCCTGTTGAACCTTTAGTCTATCTTTTTTGGATTCCTCAATCAATAGTATCATTAAGTCTAGTGAACATTTGTTAAGGATAGCCTCCCATTTCTCTGTAAATTCCTTATTGTCCATGCTATGGGCAGGAAATTTTCTAATACGTAATCCCCGTGGAATGAGACCATGTCTCCAGTAATCAGAAAGGGTAATTGCATTCAGTTCAAGCTTCACATCTTTTTGGAGAAGTTTTTTCAATTCCATAAAAGTACCCGTTAAGTCTTCATTAACCTCCTCAGATGTATTAGCTGTGCTCAACAAAGTCCCTCCCACTATGATATTTTGGCCTTTCTCATGAGAAAAAGATAAAGTTTTCTTACGTTCCATTGTTGTACAGTGTCCTCAAATAATCCACCAGTTTATTCAAAGATTTGTCTCAGCAAAACGCAGGAAAGGTGTCCGCGGAGCCACTCCAAATAGAGGTATAACCCAATGTCCTCACATTAACGACTCAAAGAAAACATCTTGGAGCGCTACTTGCTGAAAGGACCTCCGTTTAATAGTCCCAGAAGGTGCTCTTTGGTAGGGTTCAAAATTATATGTATAGAAACTACGGATCCACGGATCATTACGTCACCACGCGACGCCATCCGACGTCCCCTCCGGAATTTCATTTATAAACATATAATTCGTCTTCATTAAGATGCCATATACAGATGTGGGTGTTTCATTTTGAATTTACTGAAAGCTTCAAGTGCAGTTAATTATTTATCATGCTATACATGCAAACAGACGACGGCGTTGTTGAAGCTATTCTTTTGATTGCCGTCAAAAGGTTGGCCACTGCCGTGTGTGTATCCTGTCGCAAAATGCGGCAAAAAGTCCTACACAACAGTAATAATGTGATTAAGGTGTTTACATGTCTATACTGCACTTCAGTAATGCGACTAAATTAATTCGATTAGTGTTTACTTCGATTATGACTTTAGCCGGATTAAGGTAATCAAAAATCTCTGTTTACATGGTAGATTCTTAAAGGGATAGTTAACCCAAAAATGAAAATTAGCCCATAAATTACTAACCCTCAATGCATCCTAGGTGTATATGACTTTCTTCTTTCAGACGAATCCAGTCGGAGTTATATAAAAAATTGTCTTTGATCTTTCAAGCTGTTTAATGCCAGTCAGCGGGTGTTGCATTGCTTCAGTCCAAAATTAGTGAAATAAAAAGCACGCATCCATAAAATTAAAAATTAAACACCCAAAACTGTACATGGCATCATCATGAAGACGAACTACATGTTTATACGTGAAATTCCGGAGGGGACGTCAGATGGTGTCACGTGGGATGTAATGACGTGTGCCATTTATCGAACTATGTACTATAACATGTAAAACGGGAACATGAAAGGAATATTCTAAAAGCAACTCATGTAAACACCTTAATAATAATATTGGCTTATTTAGAATAAAGTAAATAATTAGATTACTGATGTCCATGTAAACGTAGTCAATGTCTCATGAGATCCCAGGCCTATTGATCTTGTTTGTTCCTGGTACTGAAAGTGATTGCAAATTAGACCATCTTTACCGAGTTCCAATTAATTAGTCTCCTCGTTAAGCAGCCCAGATGTAGTCATGACATCCTCTCACAGGAAGCTCTGAACTACACAAATGTTTCATCAGTGATTAAAGGCAGCTGTGCTGGAGCTATGGCCTGCTGGTTAGTGCGTGTTTTCCAACACGTGTCAAGATGAGCGGCTGTTGCAAGTGAGGTGAGTTTGAGTCTGGATTGTGTCATTTCTGACCACATTCCCACCTCTTCTTCATGACATTTTCCCTGATCTACCTTTCATACCTGGAAACTTGTTCCCTTTTGGTAAAATTTGCTGTTTTGACATTGAAAAAAAGTGTCTCACACGGCTCTGGGGGGTGAACAAAGTCCTCCTATAGCTAATCGATGCATTTCTGTGAGAAAAATATCCATATTTAAAACGTAATAATCACTTTAAAAACAGTTAGCTTGCGCTCACTGTTGTAAACGGAAGCAGTTCCGGGCGGATGACGTAGGACGTCAGCTTTGTGCATGCGCTGCTCAGAAGTGACGAACGCAGAAGCACAGGGGAGAGATCAAAACAAAACAACGGTCGCTAATTAGAAGTACAAAACGAGGATTTGTAAAGAAGAATGTCAGAGAATTTCGATATAAGCCAAGAGGAGACTGGTTTTCCTTTGCTAAAGTAAGGAAACTTTGCTTCCTTTGCTCCTGTTAACAAACGTTGGTTTTCACGAGACTCACCGGCACATGCGCAACGCTGACCTCATACGTCTCCTCCTGGAGCTGCTTCCGTGTACAACTGTTGGCGCAAGTTAGATTAAAGTGATTATTACGTTTTGAATATGGATATTTGTCTCATGAGATCCCAGGCCTATTGATCTTGTTTGTTCCTGGTACTGAAAGTGATTGCAAATTAGACCATCTTTACCGAGTTCCAATTAATTAGTCTCCTCGTTAAGCAGCCCAGATGTAGTCATGACATCCTCTCACAGGAAGCTCTGAACTACACAAATGTTTCATCAGTGATTAAAGGCAGCTGTGCTGGAGCTATGGCCTGCTGGTTAGTGCGTGTTTTCCAACACGTGTCAAGATGAGCGGCTGTTGCAAGTGAGGTGAGTTTGAGTCTGGATTGTGTCATTTCTGACCACATTCCCACCTCTTCTTCATGACATTTTCCCTGATCTACCTTTCATACCTGGAAACTTGTTCCCTTTTGGTAAAATTTGCTGTTTTGACATTGAAATAGGCTGTTTGCATAATTCATGCAAATCTGAGGAGTTTTTATTAAATAATACAAATAAAGTAAGTAAGTAAGTAATTTTTATTTCTATAGCACCTTTCAATAGTAAATAGTATTATTTGAACTAAAGCTGTTTAAATGGACATTTTATGGTCATTTTACAGTTTAGGATGTTATCATAGACATGAGTGTTGTTTCAAAAGCTAAACAAACTATTTCAACTGCTTATTCCAAGAAATTTAACAGTTGATCCCAACCCATTAGTATAAAATGTACAGTATGTATGGCCTGTAGATAAATTGAAAAACCGGCCAAAGTAAAATAGATAAATTGAAAAACCGGCCAAAGTAAAATGGATAAATTTAAAAACAGACTACAATTAAATTAAATAAAATAAGGGTTAAAGAAGGGGGAAAATGTACTGGTAATTTTCTACCAGAACATTATCCAGCAATTTTATGGACATTTCTGTTAGCCTTAAAACACAATGAAGTGCAACATTCAAAATACAGTTAAAACACCTGTAAAAAATAAAAATAAATAAATACAGAAAATTATTTGATATTAATACAGTACATTTAGCTCAATTTTTATGGATAGATTTCCCCCCATACAGAGTAGCAATTACACTAATAATGTGGCACACTAGTAAAGTTTTGCACTGGCAAGAACCACTCACAACTTTTTTTCTGAAAATGTAAAAATCTAGCTATTTGTGGGTGTTTGCTAATCTAAGCGTCACCTTTCCTATTGCTCATACTTTGTTTTTTTTCCACTCCACGAGAGCTGAAAACCAGCTGGTGAGTGGATCTTGGCATGCAAACTGCATGTGGGAAGGTGAATAATGTGGAAACCTTTTATTTAGTTCCTGTGTCTGGTTTGTTGTCATGTCTTGTGTTTGTGGCTAAACAGTGGATTGGCTGGTTTAGCTAAACGTTGGCCAAGAAAAACAATGAGCCATCTCAAAGAGCTCTTTTAATAAACAAGATGGTCATTTTAACAGGAAAAGTAAAGTGAGTCTAGGTGGATCACCCTCATCCCTGTGACACACAGAACAAACTTAATGAGTTAATGTTTTGCTAATGACTTCTCTGGGGTAAAACAATTTGTAATGATGTTGACATGTTAGTCATAGTACAACAGCATTTAAGAAAATATCTCTCCTGTGCTGAATCTTCTATTTCAGTATGTTTACATAGTAAGCTACTGCTGTTAGCTTGAGAGCTAACACCTTTAGCTTTCCTCAGCTGCGTCAGAATTGCAAATAACCAAATAGATATTTTTTTGGCAGAAATGTATTCATATAAATATTGCTGTTATTACTTGTATAAAATATTGGGGAATACTTTACTTTTTGTTGTTGTAGTTTCTACATGTTTAGTTTTTTTTATTATTACAAATTTCATAGTTTATTAATATTATTTATTTTAAAAACCATATAACCATGGTAATGAGGACCATGGTTTTATTCTTGTGACCACAATCTTACTAATACTAGTCAGTTTAACTCTGAATTCTAAGCAATAATTTATTTGTATTTAGATGTTTAGTTCTAATTAACTTTAATTAAAGTAAAATGTTAATTCAGTAAGAGCTTGTTTAAAAATAAATATTAGTGTCTTATATAAATTAGGCATTTACTATTTATAAATATTAAAGTTCTTAAAGGGATAGTTCACCCAAAAATGAAAAATGTCACAATTTCCTCAACATCATGTCATTCCAAACCTGTATGAATTTCTTGCTTCTGTTGAACATAAAAGAAGATAATTTGAGAAATTCAAGAAATGTTTGTCCATACAGTAGAAAATGGTTTGTTAACATTCTTCAAAATATATTTTGTCATGCAGGTTTGTGAGGGTGAGGAAATTATACATTTCCTGCTTTCTAGCTCAAAATCAATGCTTTATTGTCAAGCACATTTCTATGTGACAAAAAATGCATTAGTAAGTGTGTTTCAGTAATATCTATTATTATTTGTTTCTCTCCTATTTTATTCTAAATTTAAGAGTCTAAATCCAGAGTAGTGTAGCAACAATTCAATGTACAACCAAAAAAGGTTTGAGTTTTGGTAACCATTTGAGGAAACTTTTTATAATCTTAACATAACAGAACAATAAACGCTGTATATTATTCTTGTGCAAAACAAACAATATAACACTTAATTTTAGCATTTACTCTCCTTGAAGAGTCCAAGGCAAAACAAGCTGGGAAAAAGTGTTGGTTACGTATGTAACCCACGTTCCCTGAAGGAGGGAACGGAGACGTCACGTCGGTGACCGACGAATTGGGATCTCGCTTAGAGAGGTCCACTTAGAGTGTAAACTAAATGAGCCAATGCACATTGGCATGCGATGAGCATAAAAAGGCAGTCGGTGCAACGCATACCAGGTTTTCACTGAGGAGCCACAGCAGCCGTGGAGACGGGACGTGACGTCTCCGTTCCCTCCTTCATGGAACGAGGGTTACATACGTAACTGAGACGTTCCCTTTCAGTCGGTCACTCTCGACGTCACGTCGGTGACCGACAAATTGGGATCCCTACCAAAGCGCCATGGATGCTGCCCCTTCCAGTGTCCTGTGCGAGCCGGGGCTCACAACAAGAAAACCAGTCACTGTTGTCGTAGCACTACCCACTCAGTGATATTTGATAACACTGGGAAAACGTATCTGTACCAGTTGGAACAGGAACGTTGCGGAAGCCCCATCCTTCCCGAAGGAGGTTTCGGAAGCCCTTACACATATGAACAACCGTTTAGGTGCATATGGAAGATTAGAGGTGATTATAACCCTCTTGGAAATGGCAGAAGTCTGCCGGGGAAACACGGGCTCAAGGCTATACCGTGGACTTTACACATATGGGAACCACTTAAGCCTCTACATATGGAACCCAGCCCTCTACCGGTTCTCACAGATTCATCCATTGAGGGCCTGGCGCCGGACGTTCTGCTGAGTGAGGGCCTGGCGCTGGACGTTCCGCCACGTCTGGCTTCCGAGGGGATGGAGGAGCTCAACAGGGTCTACAGTACGGACACTCTGGAGCAGTTTTAGCAAGCCGACACTAAACCGGGGCCTCTCAGTGCCTTTACTCGTTTGAGGTGAGAACACAGGAGGATACCGGCTCCACACGAAGGCTATAGAATCTAGCGAACGTGTTGGGGGTCGCCCAGCCCGCAGCTCTACAAATATCTGTCAGTGAGGTGCCACGAGCTAGCGCCCAGGAGGATGCAACACTTCTAGTAGAGTGAGCTCGCAACCTGAGCGGGCAGGGCACACCCTGTGCCTGATAAGCCAGGGTGATGGCATCCACTACCCAGTGGGCAATCCTCTGCTTAGAGACGGCCTTCACCTTCTGCCGGACTCCATAACAGACAAATAGCTGGTCTGAGGTCCTAAAGCTTTGTGTCCGGTCTACGTACCATCTCAAGGCTCGGACGGGACAAAGCAAAGCTAGGGCTGGGTCTGCCTCCTCCGGGGGCAGCGCTTGCAGGTTCACTACCTGATCCCTGAAGGTAGGAACCTTGGGCACATAGCCGGGCCGGGGCCTCAGGATTACCTGGGAGTCAGCCAGCCCAAACTCTAGGCACGA